CCGGCTTCTCTCTGGGCGAGCGGCGCAGGGGCCTCGGGCCCGGGCCTCTTCCCGTCAAGATGGCGGCGCCCGGCGCGCACGGTGTCTGCTTAGCGAGAGGTTGAGCCCGGTGACTGCCGAGCGAGTGTGGGGTCGGTCGCGCTGCTGACTCGGAAACGTCCGCGGTCTGCGTTTCCCCGGCGAACGCTGGGTGAGTGCCGCCCCTGCTGCAGCGTCGAGCTGTTAGGCCGCCGATTGTCGTGCACTTGGCGTTTGGCTGTGACTTCCTCCCGTTTCCGGGATTTTCATTGAGGGTCTGGACTTTCTTGCTGTTTACTTTTTAATTTTTGGAGACGGTCTTATGTCGTAGCCCTGCCTGTCCTCGAGCTCTTGGAAGAGGCCGTCCACTGCTGGAGTTACAGGCGTGGGACTCCATGCAATTCTAGATTTTTTTAACTTTTAAGCGCACAGTTTTGTAGCGAGTAAAAACAAAACAAAACAAAACAAAAAACCAAAAACAAACACAAGCAAAACCGTTAAAAGTCTGGACTTCAGATGTCGTGATTAAATTAGGGAACCCTTAGGACTTAGGGATTTCCGAGGCATCATTTCAGACCCAGGGCAAAAAAGTTTTCTCGTTAGGGTTTCCCTCTCTCCCCCTCCGCCCTCAGAATTCAGCTTTTACGTACCATCTTGCTAAAGTAGTACAGTTTTTCTGTTCTGGTCCTTGAACTTAGGTCTCTGCGAAGAAAAGCTTCCGCTAGGTCTGGTTACTGTGGAAAGCACTAATGTTTTCGAATCTGGCTTTATATAAAGACATTGCTGCGAGCCATTCCTTTCATCTTCCCTGCCCCCAAACACAACAAAGTGATTTTTAGTCAGTAAGACTGAAATTAAATTAACACGTGTTCTTGTCTGTTTTGGTGTACCTAGCTTTGAAACGATGTATGCTCCATGCGAAGCAACTTGTATTTTCAGGAACATTAGGGCAGGAAATTCTCTAGTGTGCTCGCAACCTGTTGTCCTTGAATAAAATAAATTAAAAAAAGGTAATCATAATATAATGGCATTTAAAGGTATTGACGATACAGTGCCTTTATAAAAATACTTTTACGCTCCCTGTTTGGTTTTCTTCTAATCAAAACAGGCTTTTAATATTTTAATTTTTTAACATACAGCAACAGAACTTACCTCAGTATTGTTCCCTAGCCGTTTGATCACGCCATTGCCTCAGCTTTAATGAGATCTATTAATATTTTTGCGTTTTTCTTTGTAATTTCTTAAATGGCTGGTAGGTTTTCCCATTGTTACAGAGTAAAAGTAGAGCTGTTCTCTCCTGAGGTAATAAACCAGTAATTGCTATTGATATAAAATATAGGGCACCAGAACAACAACAAAAAACGAAACATTTCAAGTTACATATATACAAAATTACCAGAATGGGAAGGGAAAATGTTTAAATCGTTTTGACTTGTCAAAAAAGAGAGGGGAATACATTTTTGCTGTATTTTGCTGTATTTCACTTGAAAGTGAAATTAGGGTAATAACTGTGTGGGGTTTATGCCCAATTACAAGTGAATTAATGTTCAAAATAATGTGTACATCCAAATGTCTTATCTTTGTTGTGATCAAATACTGCTTACAGCATTTAGAGAGTTAAAATAGTTCAGGTAGTAGATCTGTCAGTCAAAAGAGTGGTTGAGATTAGGAAATTGATAGCTTCTTAGTGTTGAGTCAAATTTGTCAGAGGCTATGGATCTGAACTGGGTACCACCAATGTACACCAATGGACAGAGGCTAATCTAGTGTAGAGTTTAATCACAGTTATTAAACATTGTTCCAGAGGTCCTATAATCAATCCAGTAATTTGCAATGAGGTTGCAACCTGTTGGCTAGTTGATTATATTGCCTCCAATATCATTTTCAATGCTGTTTCCATTTTCTGTAAATGCTTTCAGATCACACTGTTAAAGTTCTAGAACCTACATTGGTTTGGGAGTTACCTGGTTCTCCTGCTAGTTCCTTTTTATTTGTTCAAATAAACTACTAAAATTAATTGCTTTAACATACTTGATGCTAGTTAATGCTATTCCAAGTCGTTATAAACATACTTTGTGATTTCTTATTTTGTTGGCTCTCATTGCCTTGAAGGACCAATTTAAAAAAAAATAACACTTGCCAGGCGGAGGTGGTGCACATCTTTATTCCCAACACTTGGGAGGCAGAGGCAGGCAGATCTCTGTGAGTTTGAGATCAGCCTGGTTTACAAGAGCTAGTTCCAGGAGAGGCTCCAAAGATACACAGGGAAACGCTGTTTCGAAAAACCAATAAAATAAATAAATAAATAAATAAATAAATAGATAAATAAAAATAAAAGCACTTTCCCAAACTAAATCTTTGTTTTTGCTCATTTTCACTTCAGAAGTGACCTTTTAAAAGCACCAACTCTACTGAGATTGTAGGAAGAATTGGCCCAAAGGCTGCGACAAACACTCATGTGTTCTGTCATTCTAATTTAGAGCATTTTATTAGATAACAACCATAATCAAATGGGTACCTATCTACTTCCATTTAGCTCTCAAAATATAAACATTTTCTTTAATACTTAGTTATGAATACCATAATTCTTGCTAGTAAATATTTCTTGCCTTTTGAGAATTTTCTCTTACTGTAAACAATGTAAAATCATTTACTGTCTTTACAATGAAATATAACAATGATATATAAAGAATGTTTCATATTATAGAATCACCTTATAGGGAATTATTAGATCATGGGCCTGCTCCTTTAAGATACTGGTCTCTAGAAGCACTCAAGATATAATCTTAAAGAAAACATGTGACCTCCACCCCTAGCTCTCTGAGACAGCGAGTTAAAGATCCATGCTGTTTTCTGGCTTGACAGCCCCTAACTTATGGTTCTACTCAGCACCTGCCTCCTCCATGCTTCTCATCACTTAGGCTGTCCCAGACTAAATCACATTTAAAGACAGAAAAACCATCCAGTTGTTCTTCATCCAGGATTTCTGAGAAGGCGCTTCTCTAGGCCTCCCCATTCCATCCATGATGTGCGTCTCTTTAAGCTATTCCTCCTGATGAAGTGTCATTGCAGGTTTTAAAGGACAGCCTTTCTTTCCTTTGAGGTCCCAGTGTGTTGTCTGTGGTATGATGGGCTGGTGGGGCTGGCAGGCAGAGAAAAGAAGTAGGAGGAGGAATCTAGGCTCCAGAGAGGGAGAAGAGAAAATGAAGGAGATGTGGGGTGGTGGTGGTGGTGGGGATAGCTAGGTAACCACCAGCCAGGCACAGAGTAGGACAGAAAGCTTGGTAAAAAACCCTTAGGCAAAATGTAGATGAAGAAAAACAGGTTAACTTAAGTTGTAAGAGCTAGTGGGACAAGCATATGATAACCGGAGCATTCTTAACTAATAATAAGTCTCTGCGTCATGATTTGGGAGCTGGTTGGTGGCCTACAAGAAAGCCTGCTACAAATTGCAGCTGTGCTTTTTTCTAACACTGAAGTGTAGCTAGATCTTTGTGATCCATTTTCTTCAGTTGTTTGGTTTTGGTGTTTTCTTTCCCCACAGCGTCTTACTATGTAGTCTTGGTGGCTTGGACCTCACTAGGTACAACACGGCTGTCCTCAAAACATGTGAAGATCCCCTTGTCACTGCTAGAATTAGAGGTGTGCACCACCACACCCTGGTCAACTAAGACCCTGACCTGAGGGAGGATGGCATCATAGGAGACAGTTGGAACATGAAGATGAGTGTAGAAAGTTTGATATTGTAGTTCCTGATTAAGGCATGGAAACAGGGTGGACACAGTTTAATGTCTATAGCCTTCTGTGATTTGGAATAGCTGAAGGTGAGAAGTAGGGTTCCTCTGTCAGACTACACAAGTGATTAGCCCTGTACCAGCTTTATTTTAGTTATAATCTCTTTTTTTTTTGCACTAGTTGATTCTTCCCCCATGTACCAGAAAGTACCAGTTGAACTAGTGTAGTGCAATTCATTAACAAGGTACTGGCAACTTACTCTTTCCTGAAGGAGCCACAGAGTTAGCACAGAACACACCCAGACACCATATTCTCAGCACAAAGGAGATTTTATTATCATGGAGGGGACCAGGAGTGTGGAGATGAGGGGGTGGGGATGGCTGCCTCTGGATCTGGCAAAAACAGCAGTAGGTGGTTTTTTTTTTTTTTTTTTTTTTTTTTTTTTTTTTTTTTTTAAGGAGAACAGGGGGAGTCTGTGAGTTCTAAATCCTGATGTTAATGTAGCCAAATAATGGATTTGATTGTTGGACCTTGATGAATTTTGATAGTTGGATCTTGGTGTTCAGCCCCAGAGATGAGTCAGGCATAAGGAAGTAGCCAGATAAGGGAATGACCCTTAGTGACTTGCTTTAGGAATGTAATCTAATGGGTTAGCAAGGGCCATGGAAGAGAAGACCCACCATTGCTGTTTGCCATGCCTGGGACTGTTAGAGCCCTTCATAGTCCGAGACTTCAAATTCTGTACTCCAGAAGCTCTTCAACCTTCCTTCTTGATCTATATACTTAGCAGGAAGCTGACTAGCCTGCTTCTTGTAGTGACTTAGAGCTGCAGATCATGTTTCTGGGGATTTATGGTTTGAATGCATTTGTGTGTGATTGTGATAGGGGTTATAAAGCACAAAGGGTTGCCAAGGAAGTGCTGGTTATGTGATGTTGGGTCATGCCCATCCTTGATGCATGTACTACAACTAGGACTGCATTCCTGGCACTAGATATTGCTAGGGTGGAAAAAACAGTGAACCCTGAGAATTAGGGCCTTTTTAAGGTGGAGGTAATGTTTGGGTGGCTGGGGAAGAGTCAGATTTCAGCTGGGCCTTGAGGGCAGAGGATCTGGATGTGCAGGGTCTGGTGGTTCCTTCTTAGAGGAGGAAGCCGTCCCCTAGACCTTCATGAGGCTAGAGAGCATCTAACTCTAGCTTAGATATTCATGGGGACTTGATTCTTTGCAGAGCTGTGGGAAGGAGATCAGGTGGGAAGACACTAGATGATCTGAACCCTCATGTGATCTCAGCCAATTCGTCCATGAGCTGAGGGACAGCTTCTGCCTCGGAGGAAAGGGAATCTGGGAGAGTAGATGATTTAGCCAGGATCAGGCAGTTGGAAATGGGCTGTAATGGCCAGTCAATGGGGATGTTTTCTGTCCAGCTATACTGTTTG